GTTCAGATGACATTAAAATAATAGGGTAGGGTATCCTCAGTAATCTATTACCAAGGTAATAGATGACACTTTAGTAATGGTATTATTTATCCTATTACATTACTACAGTCGGGACCACGTAAGTTTGCAGTTAAGGGAGGAGCCTATTTACCATGTGGTTTTGAATGAACCAATGAGAACCGTGCAGTGTTGCCAAATCTAATAATACCAGCTGATTTGAAAATATTGCTTGGTATATTTTAATTAGTGTTGTCAACGGGCAATGTGGCAACGTCCCACTAGCCTTTGTCTTGTGATTGGCTGCCACCAACTGCAAACTTACGTGGTCCCGACTTTAGTGATCCTGTGCGGCTCTACACCCCACAAAATAACATAATGAATTAAAAAAAAACAAATTCATGTTGTCATATTAACTCTTAATATGTCAAAAATAAAATACAGTAGTAAAACCTTTGCAGGGTAGCAGTCCAGCCATATTCTTGTTCTTTTTTTAAGATTTAAAACCAATTTAATAAAGAAAATTATTATATAAAACATCAAACCAAGATGTACCATATTTGAAGGACATAAAAATGCTGCAAAAGAAGATAGCTGCTAGCTTACCTTAGAAGATATACAGAAGTATGATATAGAACGTGCAGAAGACACATAAAAAAACATAACTTTTTGTATCCAGGGGGAAAAAGAGAATTCCTAAGCGTTGGAACTCTCTCTCTACACTTGACTTGGGGCTCCAAGAAGTTCCTTGGTTTACTTTGTATTAGGTATAACGAGTGTGAAGTCCTAAAGATGACTCAATCATCTGATAATTCTGATATAAAGTCACTGATCAATCATGAGCGATGTTTTTACACTTTATTCTTGTCCACAGACGATTCACCCGCTCAAAGACGCTAGGTCGACCCGAGGAGAAGGCTGAAAAATTGAAGGGTCTAGAGATGATCGTCTGCCACGACTGTAAGACGATGGTCATTCAGATCATCAAGTCGTCGCGCACAAGTCGCAACAACGCGATCCGCAACCTAACCCTAGACCTTTCACCGGTCTATTGATCATTTTATCATTCCAACCCAGCCTACCATTGTGTTTAGTTCTACGATGCAACAATAGTTTTAATATTTTGTGTGATATTAATTTAAATTTTGTTTACAAACATGTATATATGTGTAATACGGTTATTGTAGATATCACGGATATTTTAGTATTTGTAAATTGATAATGTTATATAACGTGTAAATTTAGTTTTGATATGTTCGCTTTGTTAAGTTAGATTGCACAATATAAATTCCTAAGGAAAATACGTTTGATATTAGTGTTAACGTGGATTCCTGTATGAAAACAGGTTCTTCCATCTGAAATCAAATTAAATTTAGGGCATTTAGCTTTAATTAGGACAATGTTAAATATTGGATGTATATTAAAAGTATGGAGTTAAATATTTAGTGAAAAGTAGACATTGTATAGAGTCTGAAAGATTTGAATATTTTTAATAACCGTCTTGGTGCAAATTCTATGTAATATAATCTCATTACTAGTTATTGTAACGACAACAATAATTACTGTTGAAATACAATTTTATGAAGTGTTCTTATAGTCTTTTCTATTTGTAAATTATTTATTAGTTAGTTTCTTATAAAAATATTTCAATAATACAGAATATATAATGCCGGAAACTGTTTCCATTTTACTATCCTAAAGAATTCTGTTACCATTTTACACTTTTAAATTTTGTTGAATCTCTACATAAACTAGGCCTAATCCTTCTCTATGATGATGGTGCAGACTAAAAAAAAAATTATTTGTTGTTCTTGGGCTTATTTTCCTTGTGAAATGAAATGAACTTGCGGAAAAATTAGTGATTTTATGTATTAACAACAAATATTGTTATTGTAATTTTTATACTTTGGGAAATCTAGTTTTGTCCGGATAGTATATTAAAATTGTGATGTTCAATAAATATTAAATAGAAAAGCAGCTGTTTCTGTTATTTGTCTTATAAGAAACATCTATGTAGACCAGTTGTGCTAATCCTTTCTATCTGTTCTCAGAATAAAATCCTATGAGGGAGCAAAAAAATAGTATATTTCGTACCTAGGGCCGAAAATGAGGTTTTGCCGGCTCGAGATAGTTTTTAAGTTCGAGACGAAGTCGAGAACTTAAATCGATCGAGAGCCGCAAAACCATTTCGGTCCGCGGTACGAACGCTATTTTTCACCACACTATACCCTATTACCACTATTCACCACAATAATAATGCACACTGATAGTCAACACAACTACAACTTTAAGGTTATGTGAAGAAATAATTTGAGGAATCAGCAAAAATAAAAATATATAGTTGCTAGGCAACGGTGACAATAACACAATTCTATTGAAATGCTATGGATTTTGATTATGTATTTAAAATGCATTCAAGTTTTAAGTAAGTAAGCGGACAGCTGATTTTGCGGCCCCGGCCTGTAAAAACCTGCTCGGTCCCCAAATTATGGACAGCTGGCATCGCCAGCAAAACGTAACTTTCGGCCACCAATTAACGTATGTAATACAGCCAAAAACATGATAGTGTGGTGAAAAATGTATTGTTGCCTATAAAATGTTGTTTTAAAGTCAGTTTAATTTTGCCTTACCAATGATTAGTGAATACAATGATTCAGGATTAGACTTGTTGACATCAAATCGACAATCATGTGAGAAGGTATTATTACAAGCATCTGTTTCTAGAAATTCTTTTAATTATTTTATTCAGAAGTTTTAACAATGTATCACAAACTGTTAACAATTAATCATTTACTTGTAATATGTAATGGTTTATTCTGAATTGTAATAAATATTTTGGAATGTAAGAAATTATATGTCGGGTATAATAATATTTGCAAATATGCCTTTAAAAGTTTGTTTTTGCAGCTTTGAATATTTTTATTGACTTACACACAGTTTGAAATGTATTTTTTAGTGTATTTTTTACAATTAATTGTCAAAGCTGTGTATCTTCATTATAATCAATTGGAGCATTATACATTTCTAATTTTTTCTAAGCAAAAGTCCCTAAATTTTATTTAGGTATGAAACTCTTCAAAAGTAAACTAAATCATATTACCAGCCCCAAACTTTTTCGACGATTGTTGTAATTGATTTTTATTTTTAAATATATAAAACTGTTCAAACCTAATAGAACTTCATTCTTTGTAATATTATCCTTGATAACAATTTGTAACAAATTACCCTTCCAACTTATCTGTAAATGTTTCAGTAAGAAATATTCACTAAGCAATAAGAAATTTTCCAAATATTTACTTTTGTCATCGAGTATTAACTCACCCGGACTATAAAGCAATTGCAACAATTAAGGTGCCTAGTAACTTTATAAATAATTTAAATTTTTTAAATTGTAAGTTTCAGGATGAGAAATGCTGAAGAGTTTTATGACATATTTTACTAAGAGTAAAACAATCCCTGGGGCCCATTTCATAATAAACTACAAGTTACAAGTTTACAACTTGTAACTTGTAATTTCCATAAGATTTGCATTGGGCGATCAGCTGATTTACTAATAATATTAGTTTGTACTTTATTATGAAATGGGCCCCAGATGAGATAAATAACAAAAAAAATTATAAAAATGTATTACATATATTTTATAAGTTCAAATTATTTGAATTTAAATCCAAATCTCATTGTCTTGGTTTATAAAAAGATTTTTTTTTTTAGATAAGGTAGATCCTAACAGGTCTGGCAGTTAAATTTTATAAAATACTGCTGTAAAATTTGTTTTAAAAACTTTCGTTGGCATTATAGCTTAAAAATATGTAAAAAAAAATACTTCATAGAGTTTAGTCAAATAATACTTTTTGAAATCCATTTTTATTCCGAGATCCTAATGTCTCAACCTGAATGAAAAAGAAGTATGTATAACATTTTAACATAATTTTGGCAAAATTTGACCAAAAATGTCTACTTAAGGTAAAGAAAGGTTTTAAATGTTTTTTCCCATCATTACATAAGAAAAATCTATCCAAACTCAAATTAAAGCATACATTAGAAATTTAACCTTTTAATGTTATCTTTTTCCAATAATTTCCTATTTTTTATTTGCATAAATCTATTTTCAATCTGCTTAAAGTCTATATTAGATGTTTATAGTGACTGTACATAATGGTAAATATAACTAACTTATGACCAAATGCATCTTTATTTCTCCTTCCCCTTACGGATTTGCATAGATAGAATGAATAGAAGTCGATGAGTGCAAAGTCTACAGGTTGGTTGACAAAAATAGCCGATGGGAGGGGTGTGTCTACAAGAGTTTTACGAAAAAACCGAGAAGAGAAAAAATTCACACAGGCTCAAGGTTATACAGTGAAACTCTTCGTTGTTTAAACTTATTATATTCATTAATTTGGTCAGCACTTGATATTTTTTCAGGTAACTTTTCAAAATAGGCTAAACTGTTCTATCTAGTTCTCCCAAAATTTTGAAATCTCCCGAAACCCTCCAAATAATTTTAGATACATTTGTGTTGGAATGATTTAGAAATATAAGTGGGTTACAATCAAAATGGGCATAGAAAGCAGAAGTAAGCAAACTTTTGAATAGGATAAATTTTTGTCTAATATAATGAATTTGTTGGCTTCATTCATGTCTATAAGCTTGGGCTTGTAGACAATTTGACCACATTTTAGTTATTTTCAAAAGATGATAACAAAAAGCAAAAATATAATATTTCATATTTCATAACATAATTTTGATTATTTTCATTCTGTTAATAATTTTTTTACTAATATACATTAGAGACTACAACAAATAAATTGATATGTTACTTGAGCGATTGAGCTATTCAAGTTAGCGATTGAAATATACAAGTAGATATGAATCTCTATTACCCTCAATTTGTAGTAGGAAAATCCAACAGAAATGAACTCTTGATGTCAGCAAGCCTCAAGTGGTTGACTTAAATTCTGATTGGTCAAGTGTTGACACTAGCGGGAACTGTTGACAAATGATTCAGTTATTATTGATACTGCAGTGTGGTTACCGTTTGTCTATTTATTTGTTTGAGTGACTAAATATGAAACCAACCACTAAAGAAATACTGAACTCTATAATTTTAGGAATCATATTTATGTTATTGTATTCAGCATTTTACACTTTATCGAATTTGGAGGTAAGTGTTTTTAAATTTTAATCATCGTAACTGATACTTTTTAACAATTTAATTTGTAAGTAAGTTTTACTTCAGAATTAATCAATTTTTAACATGGATTTTAGCTTTTAGGATTCTATCCATAGAATAGGTTACTGAACGCTGGACAAAATCAAGTTTAATAATGTTTTGTTTACATGTGAAAGATATTCAAGAAGACTAAACGGACTAAACAACTATGAAATCTAGTAGGCCTACTTAATCAGACAACTCATTTTCACTTTACAAATAAAGTAAACATTTACAGTTTACATTTACAGTTTCATGAATATGGACCGAGGCGTCCCTTGAACATTAATAGTTGATTCTGGTCAAAAGAAACAACTGATTGTTGTCAGTAACAACACAGGTCACAACATAACACAACAACAGTAATAACACAGGTCATTTAATTTCACTTCGTTTTACACTGAACGAACTATTTAATTTCCCAGCACATTCATTAAATATTCAGCAAGAAATATGCACGTCAGAGTTTGTCACTGATTCAAGGAAGTTAAGTAGATGTTTCAGCGCCATCGAAAGATCTAAGTTACTCTTCTCTGTTTTTCCAACTATCTATATACCGGTAATTAATACGCTACCGGTACATGAAGAGTTTGTGTAAACATAACCGAAACCTAACAAACCCCTTTTGACCTAAGACGAATCGTGTTAGTATGGTTGTACCTTAAATTTGTGTATTTATCGTTGTTTTGTGACGCTATGGCGGATCGTGTTAGCATGATTGTAACTTAAATTTGTGCATTTATTGTTGTTTAGTGTAGCTATAATTTGTTTATTTGTTGTTTTTTCTTTTAAATGCATCCGACGCGACGACAACGAAACATAAACAGGAGGCGTAATCTTGATAACGACCGCAGCTACAAAACAGTGGCGTGAAATAGGCTTAACTCATCACAGTCAGCACCTGACCCTGGACAATCTCAACTATTAGGTTACAAATGCGCCCTAACACTACCCTAAAACGACTTTCCGTACACCATAGGCCCTCTATCAATGACCTGTGTTGCCTGTACAGCGAGGCATTTTGAGAAGGAGAAAACCGGCTGGAATGCTTTAGGTTTATCAATAACGAAGATAAATATGGTCTGAGTTACACACCGGTAATCTTTGAGTTGACTCTTTTAAACTCATTCAAACTTAAAACTGATTCTGATTCTGATTCTGACATACTCTTATCTCAAAGATCCTTTTGGACTCAGCCCCAGTAGCTCTGTAGATTCCCATGATAACCTTATCAGTATTCACATTTACAAAAAATTAAAGAATTTTTCCAGCTGTTTCAACTAACTACACACTGTAACACAATTGTAATAGACAAACCGATTGAATCACTTACTAAACAGCTGATTGTTTCTGTTAGCAAATTAAACTAACAAGTTAGAAGTAGTTTTTAGAGATTACTCTAAATGAAGTTTTGTAACAGTTTGTTCAAATAATGGTGCAATATCACGAAAAATATAGTTCACCACACGGGCAAAAAGTTACTTTTAACCCTCACTCATTTTCCAACCTCGGCTTCGCCTCGATCGCAAAACTTGACCTCTGGTCAAAAAGAGTCACTTTAGGCCCTAGTGATGTACTACTATATGATTTTATAAGATGAATCATTTATGATATATATCATCTTGACAATTCTTTTTGTGAATTTCAGGAAATTCTAATACACAGTATACAACAGGAAGTAATTGGATTCAAAGGGGATGGCTATACCAATTTGTTACTATTATACACATCTTTTGCTGTGTTTATTTGGTTTGTTCCACCAATTGTTAATGTAATTGGACCAAAATGGGCACTGGCGTTAGGATCTGTTGGATATTGGTAACTATTGTAACACTTCTTTGAATTTGGGATACTGAACTAGATATCGCATCTATATGGACCAGCTGTCGCCAAATTGTTATTAGATAAACGGTATCACCAATCTGACATATACTTTCTCACATTAGCTTGTCAAGTTATCAACAACCATTAATCATGGGTATGTAATGGGAGTAGCTATAATATTTTATTTATTATTTTATAGGGAAAATCACAAAAGTTGCAATAATTTTTGAACCGTAGTTTTTACAGCACCATTAGTAGTGGGGGTGCACTATTTCGTTTAGAATTGTAAGGACCATAAATGGTTGGTTTCAAAAATATCAAACTAGACTTGAAAGAATGCAGCGGATGCTCAGTCATCCCACGATCGCAACAAAAGATGAATTCAAAATCTCTGGGCTACTTTTTGATAATTTCCGTTTAAATTATTCAATTTATTGATAATTCCTATAACACTTTGCACAAATTAATCAAATTTGTTATTGTAAGAAAATCTAAGATTTAAGAGCATTCACCTCTTCTACAAGGACTAGGTGTGGAACATTTTGTATTTCATTATAACGAGGTAAATGAGCCATGAGCCACTCATATTATGTTAATCATTGTAAAAGTGTTATTTTGCCTTTTATTTTCTATCGATTGTTAATTTATATGGTTTAAAAGTCAATGATAAGTAAATATTAAAGTTTGGTTTGTTTAAACAGTACAACAGGAATCACTAATTTAACAACTCACTCTGATCTGAGATAGGTCAATGCAACTACGTTAAATTAAACAAAATCTAAAATAAGCTATTTATTCGTTCTTCAAGCTATTTAAGTATAATGTATATCCACATATACATATTCAACAAGAAGCTTAAAAATATTGTGTTTCAGACCTAGATGCACATAAACATCTGTTGTTTATCTCATCAGAAAAACGTAAAGAGAAAATAAGATCTACTGTACCGTAATTACACGCAATCAGATGTTGTATTTGACCTAGAATATTTGTTAGGTCATGATGCTGCCTTCTTGATGTAGTCAACAAACCAGAGCCGGCCTTAAGCATGTGGGAAAGATGCGGTTGCACAGGCCCCGCGCTGTGGGGAAGAACACACAAAAAATATTATGTCTTGGTAAATTTTGTTTATCCTTTCTCGTGTCAAGTAAAATATCACGATCAATGAACATGATAAAGATTGTTTCCTTACTGACGGGATTCGTTGTAATTGTAAAAGTCAACATGAATGTTGGCAGGATCGTGAGTAGCCTACTTACAATGGATGTTGCCGCGATCGCAGATATTATAATCCTACGAGCATGAGCAACAATATGGAGATTTAAGAGGGAGATCTTTTTAGTATATATTAATAGCTTTTAAATCTTGACTTATTTTGTAACACTCTGTGAATGTTGTCCCAGCGTACCCCTTGTGGCACTCCTACAACAGCAGAGTTGGTTCGTCTACTTCAGTTCCGTGTGTATTGGAGGATCAGCAGCCGTGCTGTGGACCTCCCAGGCTGTCTACATCATGTACAACTCTACTTCAGCAACCATCGGCCGCAACACCGCTATATTCTCTGGGATCTGCCATTCCTCGTTTGTATTTGAGCCTAATTTGAAAAAAATTGTAGAGTAAAAGAAGAGAACCAAACTAAGCTTAGATCAGTGACCATCAATAAATACGGTATTCTAAATTTTTTAGGTGTTGACTACTTTACCTAACAATTTTATAGTCTACTATTCTAGAGGTTAAATATCTTGTTGCCAATGTAATTCTTCGTTGTCTGAATGGCGACCGGTTTTGAGACTCTTGAGGTGTCATTATCAAGCCCTAGACCTACACCCTGAACCCACAACCGCGCAGCGAATCTTAGTTGTGTGGCTATACAGTATTTTTTGTAACGTTTATTAATATTTGTGTTTCACTTTTGTGTATGTGTTTTGAAGACTTCTTGACCTCCTAGGAGCGACAACCATAGGGCTTGATAATGATACCCTAAGAGTATGGAAACCAGTTGCCATTCAGACCAAGGATTACATTGGCAAGAAGGTATTTAACCTCTGGAATAGTATAATTGTGAATATAATACCTTAGAGTACAGAAAGGAGGACTATTATAAGGTGTATGTGTTATTAAGCATTGGTAAGGTTATACTCTTAACTTTGGGTAATTACTGCAAATGAAAATTTTGCCAGTCTTTAATTATAAGGAGATGTCGAATGAAAGAAGAAACTGCTCCAAAATATTGTTTATATAGCTATTGTGTATTTGTCACCGGCTTAACTTTAACTCTGGTCTCTTATATTGTGCTACAGGATAGAACTACCCTGTAACTGAAGATGGCAATAATCATCAGTAGTGTAATCAGAAAGATTTGAGATAGTTCATTGTTTAAAAAAAATTATAAAAAGCACCTATGGAGTTTTCCAAATTCAATAAAAAGATGTTTAAATATCTTATGTACACTACATTGAAAATAGTTTGTACAGTAATCACATCCTGAACGAGGAAAATTCAATCATAAAAAGGGGTATGAACAGAGTATAATTATATAATTCAATTAAATAAATGTTACAGAATGATTTACGGAAATGTGTTCGTGTACTTCTGCTTTGAGGGAAAGACTGTGATTGACGAAAAGACCCGAACATCTGTGTTGTTTGGTCTGTTAGGACTGACTGTCTTTGCGGCAATAATGTCAACACTCTTGCCATCACCTGCCTACATCAAGGAGAACAGCGGATATCAAGGATCTGCTCTGGAAGTCATGAAGCAATCCTGGGCAGTGGCTAAGACGAAGGAGATGACCATGTTGATTCCTATGTTCCTGTATTGTGGTTAGTAGGTATAATTCGGCACATTCTGGAGTTCCAAATTTTTGGGTAGAACCATTGCGATGATAGTGGAAACAGGTAAGATAGGGTCAAAAAGGGGAAGTATCAGGCCACTTTTTCAGCATTCTAATGTAATTCGGTGATTTGGATGAGTACACTTACCTATCAATTACACACAAACTCTGTTGAACGCACATATGTCTCAGACCGAAGCCAGATCATTGAAAGAGCAAAGAGCTGAACATGTTTTCATACAATCTACTGGCACCGTAATGCAAGGGAATATATTGGTAAGAATCTTCCAAAATGCTGTGCAGGATTGGCCGTACCAGCTGATATCAGCAAAGCAACCCAAAGTTGCGATGTTCTCCGGGTAACTCAGATTTTATTCCTTGTGCTGTCTATCTGAAGGATTATTTGAAAGTGTTTGTTATGCCTCTCCCTTCTTTGGCAGTTAAGAGAAAGGATTGTTGCTGCAACTGATAGTATATTGCTCGGCTAACTCTTTGAAGTAATTGGTCCGCACTCAAATATAAGACAGACTCATTACATCTACATGTGAACTTGATGTATATTGAAACTTGGTGATATATTGAAAATGTTCCACCTATGAGGAAACTTGATACAGTATCTACTCTCTGAAAATTTAAGTTCCATAAATTCTCCTTGTAATTAAAACATAGCTGTGCCTGTATTTGACCAACAAAGTGGTTTATTTTTTATAATCACCATGTGTTCTAAACTGATTTAGGTGTACAATTGTCCTACCTATCTGGAATATTTGGTGCAGCGGTAGGTTTCACATCCTACTCTGATGGATTTCCAGCCAACCAATTGGTCACTATAACAGGACTTTGTTCTGGAATTGGAGAAATTCTAGGTAAATGAAAGAATTAAACTCTGTCCTAAATCCAAACCCTTACAACCACGCTTAAAACAACACTTTAACTTTAACACTTTTTTTTATTTTTATGTTTAGCGTAAAACAACGCTTTTATTTTCTGACCTAAATAAATATGTAAACTGAATAACCTTTTAACTTACGTCTTTATGTGGTCACATGTTATTCAACTAATAAAGTTATGTGAAAATTAATCATAAGGTGATAAATACTTGATTTTTCCTAACATTTTTTCTGGCAACTATGACAGGAGTGAACTCCAAAAAAAAGTGAGGACCATCTAGAAACTGGATAAAATACAGTGTTAGACTCGGATTCATAACTAGCTCATTTGAACACAAACCTAGCTTAACAGAGACCTCAATTAGTGGACAACCCTCTTATTAAATCTTTCAATCATGTGCATTGGTATAACACCCCTTAAATGAATTAAAATATATTACCAGAGTTACTAAAGCACACCAGTCTTGAATTGAATGACTAGCTTACAGATATAAGTACCAATTTGAAACATGTAGCCAATCGCTGGAAGCTTTGAGAGATCTAAGACGATGGCAGTCTTAATGCCAAGTAAAGGTATGCAGAAATCTTTCACCATATAGCCCCTATTAAAAGTGGGGGAGCGAGCTGGTCTAGTGGTTAGAGCAGCGGGTTCAAATCCCGCCAAATCCCCAATGGATTAAAGATTTTATCTAAGTGATAATGCCGCAACCCCTAGGTCTAGCCTGAAGTAATGTGAAAAACAATCCCGGGCTAGTGCCTAGCGTCCTAAGACAAAAACAAATTAATTTAAAAGTGTGCTGAATGCTAATAACTACTTACTACTCATTACTGTCAAGGATACTTTTTTTGTATAGAGGAGAGTTTCGAAGAATTAAAAATCTCTTCAGATAGAGTTGGTTTTTGAACAGTAGTCATTGTATTAGCTAGGTTCGATTTGTAATAAATTATTTCATTTAATTTTCCAGGAGGGGTGTTTCTATTTGTAGTGAACCCCTTGCTGAGAAGTAGAACTTGGTCTGTGATTGTTGCGATTGGAATATTTTCTGAATGCATCGCGTATCTTCTCTCATTTCTCAACTACTCAAATGATTCTGTATTCCATCCCACAAATGAACCTACAATTATTAGCAGCAGGTCAGTAAATCATTAATAGCTACTCCTGCTTACAATAACAAAATAAAAAGTGAGATAGTAGACAAATTTGCACAGATTTTTGCTTCACTACTATAAATGACCGGTTTTCATTACATGTTAATCACCTGTGAAAATTCATCATTACATTGTTTACTTTGAAAAAAGAATGTTTACTATGCAAAACTAATGTTTACTATCTTTTTTGGATTTTGCTGAAGTAAACAAACAAAGATTCCAGATTTGTTATCGTTTTGTCAACTGCTTCAATTTTCAACAACAAAAACTGTACATACAACGTAAATATTAAAATTTAATTGAATGCATAACCTAAAAATGCTTTGAGTTTTGTAATGTTGCTAACCTGAAATAAAGAAATCCAATGTCTTAAAATTAAGAAAATTTGTAGTGTAGCGAAAAATAACGTTCAAAACACGAATGAAAGTTGGTCTATACATATTCCCGATAGTGATGTGCGTATCGATACAGATATCGATACAAGGACCTCAAAATATCGATATTTTGTATCGATACGTGGGAGTGTATCGATATGCCCGTATCGATACACCTATAGCTAATATCGTATCGAATATCGTAATGTTTATATATTAATATAAATCTTATTTTTATGGTAAGAAATTTGTCTTCCCATCTTCCTCCCCTCAAAAGTAGTAGTGGAAATTTGATATTTTACCCTTGCATCTTCAAAAACACTGATAAAACATGTATTTTCAGCTATGTTTTGCCATAGATAAAACTTGTGTTGGTTAGTCTATGGTTTTGAAAAAAACCTCAAAACTAGGGCACGGCCGCCTTAACTCCAGGCCGCGGCCTTCGAACTGGCAACGTCGCAAGTGGTGTTATAACAGCTTTTTTTGTTTGGAAGTAGCTAATGGTATTATTTGTGTATTTACGAAAGATTGGTTACTGGACTATGACAATATTGACTCCTCTTAACCCTTTGAGTGCCAACGTCCGGGGAACCAGACGTTTTTAAAACGAGCCAAAAGTGCCGACGTCCGGCCGACCGGACGTTTTTAGAACGAGCCAAAAGTGCCAACGTCCGGCTGACCGGACGTTTCGTAATGATCGAACAGTTGTCATAACAACCGAATGGATACTCGGATTCTTTTAACCCATATATTAACATTGAGTCGAAAGTTACTAGATGCGATACATCAATTTTCGTTGGTCAAAATATCAAAAATTTGATTTTTACAAAATTTTAACCTAAAAATCGCCAGATCGCGCTCGGCATTTTTAGCGCGACCTTCGGGAAAAATCATCGGCATTTTTTGAGCGTTACTTTTATTTCTCGCCTGGCACTCTAAGGGTTAAAAATGTACAGATATAGATTTTAATTCATATTGTTTCGGGTTTCAATTCTGTATGTTTTATTTTCAATATTTTAATAAATTTATGTTTATAAATTTAAATTTAAATCATTAAAGTGTGAATTAATGAGCTGATGTCACCTGTCTGCCATGTTATCTTATGGGACGTCTGTCACTGAACAACATACCACTTGCGATGTTGCCAATTCTACCAGGCCGCGGCCTGTAGTTAAAGGCGGCCGTGGAGGGCCACCATTAATGGAAGTGGGGACCCTCATTATCCATATTATACTATTTAATGTGTAAGTGGCATACCCACCATCATTATTAGTACGTTTTGGTTCAATTAATTATCCCTGTGTAAAAACTAGGAAAACAATAACAAAATGTTTTCCAAATTTGAGGGTTTACCGGCATTTGGAGGTTATGTATGTATGTTTGATACAAATAAAAAGACACAGGAAGGAAACGGCTTTTCTGAGGTAAGATTACAAGCACTAACCCTCTTTTCAAGCTTGTAAGTAACATAGTATTTGTCTATGCAGCTTGAATATTTGTGATATTTAAATGTTTAAAAAAATTATAAATTAACAATACGATACAATATTTTATCCGATAAAGATAAAAATCGATACATGAGGATACGATACGATACACTTATCGATACTAGGGATGGACGGGATTGAATTTTTAGTTCGGGACGGGACGGGACGGGATTTTTATTTCCTTCCCGATTTTCGGGACGGGACGGGATTTTTTTCTGTACATAAAAAGAAAGTACTGTATTGTAGTTACCAAAAAAGACATACGACATCAATTTTAACCATTTGTGGCACTGATCTATAAAAACAAAAAAATGTGTAACAATTTACATGTACCTATAGAAACTTGTGACTCGCGGGTCACGGGGTGATCGTCTGTATGACTCACGGTCACGGCGCGATCGTCGTCATGACTCGGTCACGGCGCGATCGTCGTCATGACTCGCGGTCACGGCGCGATCGTTGGTATGACTCGCGGTCACGGCGAGATCGTCGGTATGATTCCGCGGTCACGGCATTATCGTCGGTATGACTCGCGATCACGGCTCGATCGTCATCATGACTCCGCGGTCACGGCGCGATCGTCGTCATGACTCGCGGTCACGGCGCGATCGTCTGTATGACTCCGTGGTCACGGGGTTATCGTTGGTATGACTAGCGGTCACGGCATGATCGTCGGTATGACTCGCGGTCACGGCGCGATCGTCGGTATGACTCCGCGGTCACGGGGTTATCGTTGGTATGACTCGCGGTCACGGCATTATCGTCGGTATGACTCGCGATCACGGCTCGATCGTCAGCATGACTCCGCGGTCACGGCGCGATCGTCGTCATGACTCGCGGTCACGGCGCGATCGTCGGTATGACTCGCGGTATCGGCGCGATCGTCGGTATGACTCGTAGGTGGTCACAGCCCGATCGTCGTTATGACTCGCGGGCACGGCGTAATCGTCGAAATGACTTCGTCTCCTGCGTTCGCGGACCTATCGCTCGCAATAACGGCGTTATCGGAACCCGCGAAGCGGAAAAATCGCCGTCGATCGGACCAAATCCCGTCCCGAAAAATTCCCGAAATTTCGGGACCCGTCCATCCCTAATCGATACCTACACCACGTCCCGATACGAATCGATACGCAGTATCGATACATTGACCCGTATCGTCCATCACTAATTCCCGACCATTTAATAAAGTGCTTGATTCCCGAATATGTAACGACCCACTTTCTTCTCTTGTTATGAAATATACAATTACAATAGGAAAACATGATTTTGCATGAATGCAGAAAAAATCACACTTTTCTTATATCTATGTATTTCTAGGCATAAATTAGAATCATCTGACTCCAAGTATTTTGACCTTATTATTGAGAGGTGTTTGAAATAATGTGTGAGTAGAACTTAAAACTTAGTGAAAAAGTGCATAGTGGAACAAGTAATGTTAAGCACTTTAAATTTAACAAGTAAATTGTGAATAGTCTAATTGAAAAAATGTAATAGATTGAATGTTCTACAATCCGCTTTAATAATTCTTCATAAATCTTTTGACAGTGTGGTTATATCAATTCTAAAACACCATCTGAACGGTTCATCTTTATGCTTTTAACTAGAATATAGTCTTAACTATCTATTATTAGGTGTAAGATTTTACCTATTTAAGTAATTAGTATATATCAATGTGAAGTTGTCTCAAAAACATAAAAGTTATTTCTTCCAACCAATTGAATGCGTTTACTACAACGATGTTCCCAGATGGTGGATAGCAGCTGTTTCAGCATTACTGCTCGGTTTTGGAGATGCAATCTTCATGCCAATGCTGATGTCGGTTATCAAGAAAATATACTCCAACGGAAATGCTTCTACATTGACTGTCTACACTTTTTGTTTTGTGAGTTGTAACCTTATTTAAACTTTGAAATATATCCAAACCAATTTGTTAATTACAAGGCAAAAATGTGGTTCGGATTCCACTATAAACTGTAGGTCCCTTAGTTGCCATTAGCTGTATGGGCTATTAATTAACAGCTGTGTCTAAGGAACATATCGGCCTTAGTCACTAACAAGACTACAAGATCACTCATCCCCATTCATACTTGGCTTAAAATACCTACATTTGTTTGATCGCCATTTCAGAATAAAGTATTATTTTTCTGGATAATTAAGATTATCCAAATATTACCTAATCAATGAAACTATCTGTTTAGGGTGGCGTTGGACCTTAAAATTTTTATTTTTATTATTGTTTCATACTAAGGTGTTTAGTATTTTACTTGTAGCAATTTATATTAATTTATTTTGAACTGTTAAAAATCACTAACTGCTATTCTTAAACAGTTATTTACTGAAGTTAGTTGTTATTTACAAACAGATATTACGTTAAAATAGCCAGACAGTAGCCAATCAAGAAGAATAAAAGGTTTGATAATGTTCAAAACTGGAAAGACCTGTACAATGCATTTAGATTATATTCTTATTACAACATTTATATCTTACATATCCTTACACATTTCCAGAGCCTGGGCGCTGCTGTGAGTTTTTCCTACAGTGAACTTGTGGGTTTACATTGGCAGCTTCTGATAAACACGGTTGCGGCATTGTTAGCTTTGATATCTTATTGTTATGTTAGTATTATAAAAGTACCCAAATAAAAATAAAAACTGTTTTGTAATTTTGACTTCAACGTTTCTTTAGAAAGCACGAGTTTGCTTCTGTTTTAAAACATTCTGGATTGCCAGAGTTCAAAGTATTGGGCACCCTGCCTACTTGGCCCTTCACATTAATATGCACGTGATTTAAACTCAAACACCTGCAGGTAGAAAAGCATTAAAACACAAGTACACTTGTTAAAATAACTTTTTTATTAGAAACTTGATATATTTATGTTTTATGAAGACATACAATAGAAATGAGAAGATAACAAACGTAGATCCCCTGCGACTTGGCACTTGCGACGAGACGACCCACTTCGACCCAAACCAAAAATATAGACCAATCTCTCAATACGACTATTTACACTTCTAAAAAAATACACTCTTATTTCAAGACCGAAACTTAGTAGACAGTATATACCCTAGAACATTTACACTTATATACAAGCTTAAGACGCTATCCAGGCCTATTTATAAGTTAAAAGTCGGTAAGTACAGGGCCGAGCAAACCTAACAACTAACCAATAAACAAACAAATTCTGATAACAATTCCGCAAACAAATGGTCAAGAACAACACAGATGAAATTGCTGTATTATAAAACCCCAAAATAAACATATAAACAATCTTCTCAATTTTGAGTCGACTGTAGTAAAGTAAGAATTTAAGTAAATGATGGAGGTTATAATTATGAGTAAAGATGAAATTGACTTTTAGCACTTAATTGTAATTAAAATGTTATACTTTTAAGGATATTTGGAAGCTGAGTTATGATTACTGAGAAAGTTTCTAGTATTCTAACAAGTCTGAAGAAAACAATTAACTGACATACATCAAATCACATAGATTGGATTAAAGGTTTTATGTGTCTAGGACTCCTTAATTCTTTTATAATACTTCAATTTGTTGATAGAGTTTAATATAAAATAGATTTAGTTCCACATCCAATTAAAAAAAACCAGGTACAGGTCATTCTACTTTTAATCTTCTCAAGACCAGCTTGGAAGATTGATTAAGTTCAATTGTTCAGCAAAATCTGCTCACAATGAAGAAATAATCAATGATTTAGGGTTATGGAACTGATAATCAGACATAATATCTCTTGCTCATGTGGCTAAAATTATACTTCCCACAAAAAATAAATCCTTTAACATATTCAAAGTTTTATGTAGATAAGAACATTTAATTCAGAACTTTTCAACAGTGTTTTGAGAACTTGCAAACACTTCAGCAACCGCAGATGTAAGAGAAAAATAGAATAAATATAAAGTAAGCTATAAAAAAAACCACACCAGCAGCTAAAGGACATAAACCAAGTCCTAACTGAAAGCAATTTACAAAATGTGTTGTTCTTGGTATGCAGAGCTAAGGCTAACTAATATCACCTGTTTAAACTAAAGGGCCTTGGAGGCCGTAGAACTACAGAACTAACAGAACTAACCTGGTACTAATAGTTCTCAAATTCAAGTAAGGTTAAGTAGTCAGTGGTTAGTGCAGTAGAGTTGAATGATTCGAGTCTACAAAACCACTAACGACACAGCAGAATGCAGCAATCCTACGACTAAGTATTTGTTGTCTTAGTTTGTCATGAGACGTCTAGAAACGGCTAAAGTATGATTTAGATAATCTGACGGTTAAGCAAGAGAGAAATCTGAATATTCCTGGTTTTGAGGTTAAAGAAGTGAGTAGAGGTTAAAGATATGAGAACTGATTACAAAACAGGTAAAAGTAATTTTATGAATTTATCATCTCTAGCTAGACTAAATTTGCACTCTAAGATAAATTTTATGTTTTATCAAGGTACAGAAAGATATTTTGACAATTAATGAGTGATCACTTAAACGACAGTATAAACAGAAAATGGTATATTTTCAAAACAATTACCAGAAAATTATAATCGCAAATGTAATAATGATTTAATAACATTTTCATAAAACAAAACTATCTCATTACTATATACTCTTCTTTATGTTGAAATAAAATCCGCTTAAATTATTACAACCTAATTAATTAACAACAATTCAACATCAAGCAATTCCAAAAATTAAAAAAAATCATTGAACACAACAAAAAATAGGAAAGAGCGTGGTCAGAAAAAGAAAATAAATAAGTTAGATTTGTAAAAGGAAACAGGTAGAGGAATATGATTTCATAAAATAAAATACTGACTATAGAAATTTACCGTCGAAAAACAATATAGGTACCCTGTATACAACAATCATGGGTGGCACGCTTATACAACTATACATAAAATATATACAGCTATATGTAACAATATGTGTTTAGAATGTATAGTGTATAATCTCATCAATTTGTATACATTTGTACAAGAACGAACGTTTCCGTGTCAAGGCATGATCGGGCCTGTAGACGTGAGAAGGATGCTTTGTCTTGGCGGCTACCTACGATCCATCCCTGCAACAGAGGGCAAGTAAAAATATAATGCAACATGTTGTAGCTAATGCTCGTAATACCTCATAATAATTTGCTGGTAATCCTTGTTAGAGTTGGTAACAAACTGAAATGTCAAGATTAGTGGATTATGTACAGCGACATCAATGACATCATAATATCAGTAACTATGTGGAAAAAAATTAAACCTTAGTTTAAATGCAGCAAAATATAGCTATATATAATCTAGAAATGTTTTATGATCAGTGATAACTTGTTATCTTAACCACAAAGAATAGAGAGAGGAGAGATTATTTATAAAAGGAAAGATCTTTGTTACTTAGTATTTATTTCTTGTTTTTTTTTCATCTACCTGGATTTTTCTTCACATGTACAAATTCATATGGCTACTACTGCTATACAAAAAAACTTATGCTAACAAAATTGATTGAAAAATCGAAAAATGTATCATATTGAATCTTTATAGAATACGTTGAGCATCGAGTTGATTGAGGAACTACAGTAGAACCTCTATAACAAGACTATTATGGGGATTATTTAATTATACTTCTTATCAAGGTTGACTTCTAATCGAGATGTGCATCAACATGAGATTTTTTTGTCCTAGGACGCTAGGCACAAGCCCGGAATTGTTTTTCACATTACTTCAGGCTAGACCTAGGGGTTACGGCATTATCACTTAGATAAAATCCATTGGTGATTTGGTGGGATTTGAACCCGGGACCCCAGGAACTGGAGTCCCACGCTCTAACCACTATACCAGATCGCTCCCCCATCACTACAATCAACATGTGATTAGGGGTAAGATCAATTCTAAAGGATATAAAAATGACACTTATTGTCAAGATTGTTATCGAGGTTCCACTGTATTGAGATTACTTTTAACTCATTTAACCTATTGACAGAAAAAAAAATTAAATTAATAATTTTTTGAGGTTATACGCCTTTTTAAGTCTTTATATTTTATCATAAATGTATTTCAACACAATTTCAATTTTTTACTAAAATAAAATGCAAAAAACTCAAATCTGTGTCTTCTCTATATCAATGCAAAAAGAAACAAAACAGGTGATGTTTTATGAACTTAATGCTGTCAACTTCCACTCAAGTCGGACACTGTTTATGTAACCACTTGTAACCATTCTAGCCAAGCCACACATTAGTAAGCTAAATATGGATTGCACATGAACGGGATTTGAACCCGCACATGTAGAAAGACTTCAACGCTACACTTGTCAGTGTAACACCTAATTGGATCTGACCTGGTGATTCTATCCATGATATTCTTGAGCCTAGGTTCTGACGTAGCGGGTAGCAGTTTCTGCACCATCTCCTTGACAAACTGATCACTGATGCCAGGACTCGCTCTCTCTGCCAGTTCAAAAGCGTTCTTCAGTTCCTCGATGGCGTCTGTCTTGTGGCCTGAGTCCACTCGCGAAGTGTACTGATGCCTCCTTTGCAGCTGTTGAATAAATGTTATATTGTTACGAAACATGATAACTGAGGCAACGCCACAGTAAGACTGATACATTATCATGATACACTTGTAGGACTATAAGTTATTTACAAGCATTGCACTGCCAGTAAAACCCCATACCAGTAGTTTAAAGAGAAAAAAAGAATTAAACATCCATAAATCAAATTAGACTATTGCTTGTACTTATAATATTTTTAAATGGTTATATTGTAAACTAAAGTAATTTCTAGTAAATATCGAAAATTTTTTGCACATAGTTCGTCCATGTGTTTCTTTAGAATGATTTATAGCAAAGTCTATAATAATACAAATTACTACCACACCTATTACTGTAATTGTGAAATAACCCTCTAATCCAACATTTGTTAAAGTGACGAATTTAATAATCGTCAGAATAGTTGTTTTCTTAAGCCTGGCATGCATTTCTTAAGCCTGGCATGCATGATCGTAAAAGTATAGACGGTTTAGTAACGATTACAAAGGCTGAGCTGAGGTCAGATGTACTCAACAATCACAACAGCTGATAGCATAATAATCACCCTTTTAACTATCTACTCAGTATTGGCTAGGCTTGATGATCAAGCCTCCCACACACCTCTAATAAAATAATTAACTTGACTAAAGAGCTTGGCCTGAAAATTGTTCTGGTCTGATTATGATAATGATACCATGATAATAAGGTTCTCTTGGGTAGTTTTCTATACAGAAACTGTCTTGTTAAAATAAATACCATATGAGAAATAATCAGGTCCAATAGTAATTTTATGCGTCACACAAGACCACAGTGGGTGTCGATAAAAAAAACCCTATATAGATGCAACACATTATGCATGAGTTGCTTCCACCAAATTAGCAGCAAATTAGGTCTATCTATGTTTGAGTATATACAGGGTTGCCACCAGCCATGAAAACCTTGAATTATGCATGAATTCTTGTGACCATGAAAAAAGGCATGGATTATGCATGAATTTCTCCATTGGACCATGAATTTTAAAGATCAGGATTAATTATTCAATTAGTACAATTAAATTGGCCAAATAATTTTTTTTTTCATATTTAAAAACGGTTCAGAGAAACCAACACCAAGAGAATACTGTCTGGAAATGATTATTTAACATGTTCCACGATCAGAAACAATTGCTTAGTTAGTTCATTCCAAATCATTCGAGGTTAGATGCTGATGTGAGCTGAGTCTTTCTGAAGACTTAATATGGTTTGAAAAATCATTAGTAGGCCAACTTCTGCGTATGTATAAAGGGACATGGCAATCACAAAAACAGAAGTTTTAGACCATGCTCGGAATTGAAACGGGGTGTGCAATAAAACAAAATTTCCGACTCTTGACGCCTGATTTTAATAGCTTTGTGGATAAACCAATCATATCTTAGTACGTTGAGTAATAAGATAAACCAGTAAACATAAAGAATATTTTATGACATTCATGTGGAGGGATAAAAAAGGACTTTTTGGCCAGGTGTGCGGGATCTTTGTTTTATTCCGGTGGAAAGACTGAATTAGACCTATACTTATATATAGATATTTTACAATTCTTCTCCAATGTGTCATATAGAATAGCTGGACCCATTTTTTTTTCATCTTTGTTTTGAATGTATAGTTATGAATTACTCTAAAATAGTTGAATTTCATGTATGGAAAGGTTATTCAATAGTAACACGCAAAGAAACTGCCTCTTTAACAATTTCTTATGTCAGCAAAAATGAGCGCACCGACCATGTTTTTTTTTTTTTTTTAACTGCCCATGAAAACCATGAATCTTGCATAGATTTTTTCATCCCACTATGGTGGCAACCCTATGTAACCTTTTCCAGTGTTTGAAGGAAAACAACTCCCAAACAGGAATATTTTGAGTTAGGAATAGTTTTCCAGAAACATTGATAAACTGGCCTACCTGATTCTAAAATATTTCTAGGAATTTTATAAATGAGCTAAACAATGTACAGAGACGTAACATAATATCATTATGAGTAACGCATTTATTTACTCCATAAAATAATATGGTGATTAAATTTTTTTTAATTTGTATTTTTTTTTATGTCTTCTATTCCATATCTTCCAACTCCATGTCTTCCAACTCCATGTCTTCTATTCCACATCTTCCAACTCCATGTCTTCAAATTCCATATCTTCAAATTCCATATCTTCCAAATCCATGTCTTCAAATTCTATATCTTCCAACTCCATGTCTTCTATTCCACACCTTCCATCACCATGTCTTCTATTCCACATCTTCCAACTCCATGTCTTCAAAATTCCATATCTTCCAAATCCATGTATTCAAATTCCATATCTTCCAACTCCATGTCTTCTATTCTACATCTTCCAACTGCATGTCTTCTATTCTACATCTTCCAACTCCATGTCTTCTATTACACATCTTCCAGCTCCATGTCTTCAAATTCCATACCTTCCAACTCCATGTCTTCAAATCCCATATCTTCCATCTCCATGTCTTCAAATTCCATATCTTCCAATTACGTGTCTTACAGGTTGATCACGTTAAAAAAATGTCACGTTAGTTTATACCAGGTATATATATAGTCAATTCTTTTAACAAAGTCTGCAGTTGAAATAACAGTTTGCAAAGTTTAAATGAATTTATTATTTTTAATATCCATGGCAACATAAATCAATAATAGTTTAAATAAGATAAAACACAACGGCAAAAGCTATAAAAATTAGGGATGGTCAAGTCTCGAAATTTCGGGAAATTTTCGGGAAATTTTTAATCTCGTTACACGAGACGAGATTACTTTTTGGCCGAGATTTTTATCGAGACGAGAATAAAAAAAAAAAAAAAAAAAAAAAAAAAAAAAAAAAAAATTAAAAACGCCTGCAGAAAGTCAATGCAATACCCGCAATACAGGAGCGTGTTGTAGTTGCGTTTCCTTTTCGAAGGCGTTCTTATTTAATTAATTCTTTTAATGTAAATATTACTTTAATTCTTTTAATGTAAATATTACTTTCATTATTTTAATAATATTACTTTAATAACATTTGAGAAGTTTTTTTAAGTGTAAGCAGTGTGAGGAATGTTTTATTACTATAAAAAAAGTCAAAACAAGTAACTATTTTATAAAAATTAATATTGCTTTTATTTTATGATTTATTTTATTTTAGGATAAGTTGAACTCTATCCTAACTGATATCACCATGTTTCCTAATCGTAGGCATTTTTAATAAGTTAGGCGTGATTAATAAAAAATGTTATGCTGATGTTATTTAATGAAAGATTGTAAATTAATATTCTTGCCTATTATCATTATTTTAGTATTTAAACAGTCATCTAACAATGTTACAAAATCAGGTAAAAATTTCGAACGTGCATTTCCCGTTGTGTATGAGAAGAGAAATCTCGTCTCGATCTCGTCTCAAAATTTTATGAGAAATAAAAAATCTCGTCTCGTCTCGTCTCGAACTAAAAATCCAATCTCGTCCATCCCTAATAAAAATGTTATAAAAGATTCATTTGTTGACCTTTAATACTCTGTGTTAAAAATTCTTTTTCTAGACTAGCTGTGGTCCCGTTCTACGCACGGATAGTGTAGTCAGTCTCTTGGTGTTGGTTTCTCTGAACCGTTTTTAAATATGAAAAAAAAATTATTTTACCAATTTAATTGTACTAATTGAATAATTAATCCTGATCTTTAAAATTCATGGTCCAATGGAGAAATTCATGCATAATCCATGCCTTTTTTCATGGTCACAAGAATTCATGCATAATTCAAGCTTTTCAAGGTTTTCATGGCTGGTGGCAACCCTGATATAACATAAACTCACCTCTGAGATGAGAGGGTAGATGAGTTGAGCGAGGCAGGGTGACCGAGGCGTAGAGGATATCTTGACCTCAGACCTGGGTCTAGGTTGTTTCTTCTCCAGCTGAGGTGTGTCAGAGTCCTTGCTTCTTTTCTCAGGTAGCTGAGTACTAGGAGGTGATGGTGCGGCTGACAACGGTCTCCCCTACACAATATGTCATCTTTATATTTACAACAATACAGTATCAACCCTTCATGGGTGTCTTAGACTTTCAAACACGATTGTTTTTTTTTTTTTTTTTTACTTTATTTAATTTACAAAGCAAATGATATAAATAATACAAAAATAACTTGAAGAACATGAGCTAGTGATTGACCACTGTCAACACTAGCTAACAAAGAGAATTTTGATAAGACTTAGCCGAATCTGAATGGTAGGTCCAATATCGTATGTCGCTTCAGTCTGTAAATGGTGTTGTGATTGTCCAATAAATTAAGTGCAAGATGATTTGAATGATTTTCCAATTTTATAATGTATTTTTCACTAGATTTTGTAATTTCTTCTTTGACTGTTCGAATTTGAAGATCATTGTGAAGTGTTCTGTTGGTAACAAACCAAGGAGCGTTGACAATTTTACGTAATAATTTTGATTGGTAACGTTGAATAATTTCAATGTTTGAGGTACTTGCTGATCCCCAAAGCTGAATACCATAAGTCCAAATTGGTTTTAGAACTGTTTTGTACAGTAACAAAACATGATTGGTGAAACAAAGACTTCTTCCAAGTATTGAAACATGTGCATAAAGGAAAATTTCATCAGGACACATATGAAGGATAAAGAAAACTATGATGGCTGTCCAGAAAGTAACTGATGATTTGGTCCACCACCTAAGAATCAATGTAAAATGGGGTTTTAAAAAAATATTACCACAAAAATTCCATCAGTTGTGTAGTGTTGTACAGCTTGCATTGGAAAAATAAAAGAGCAGAACTGATCAAAAGTTATACACACGTCATATTACTCCAATAACTTAACTTACACGTTAATTATAAACAATTAGGTTCTAAAATTTACTTAAATTAGTCAGGAACATGACAAAACCTGCGCAAACACAATTTTTTTACAATATAAGGGAATGTACCTATATCTCTAGATTCCTAAAAAAATATCGGTAAAGTTAATCTAACCAATTTTAAAATATACGCTGAATAAACATTGCTCTATTCTTCCTGGGCAGAGGAAGTTAACCTGAGTGGCAATCAATCCACATTTAAAAGGTCAACTGCAAAAAGACCCCTTTACGTATTGACATCTACTCACGTACTAAGTTGGTTGTTATGACTCACCGAGGGTGTTTTGTCAGGTTGGCGGTTGCGGAAGTGGTTCTCCTGTATGATAGTCTTGCTGGGAGTCTGAGGTCCCGAGCCGTTCTGAGACACTTTCTTGACCGGGACGACGTGGTTCTCTAACGGCTCAGACACTGGACTCTTGACTCCGTGAGGACCCTTCACCGTCATGATCCACGACGGCTCTTCCATGTCACTGTCTGGCTTGCCTGACTCCTCACTGCGCAAACCAACAGTGCTGACTTAACAAAGCATCTATAGTTACCTATTAGTCAAGTCATTTTAGGGCTTTAGGTGGAAATTTTTCCCTAAACGGGGAAACTTTGCATTTGTGTAGTACCAACAGCATCCAGTAACAACATATAAAAAATAAACATTGATGCATGCTGTGCTACGGCCACCATCTTCGAAAATAACTTAATGTAGATTTAATTGGAAATCCAATCAGACAAATGGAAATTTGCTTAGTCTGCAGGTTTGCTGCGGCGGTGGGGGTATTGTTTATACATTACAATACACTTTAATCAGCATGTTAGTTACTAACAGTTATTGGGGACACAGTTTATTCTGTAGTTAACCTAATCGCAGTACATTTAAAAAATTTTGTATTTCCAAAGGTTTGCGATATCTGGTAAAAAAAGTGAAAATCGGCTGCCATTTTCCAAGGTGGTGGTCGTATCACAGCATGAATGAATGTTTATTTGTTTTATGATGTTATTGGGTACTAGTACTACACATGTGCAAATTTTCACTGTTTAGGGAATTATTTTCAGGTAGACGGACGGGTATTTTCCCCTAAAATGACTGGACTGTATTTAACTTGACATGTAGCACAAAAATGCTATTGTTTATTAATATTGAAGATGTTATTTGAAAGTTAGAAGAAATCCATTAAGAACAGAAGACATACATTATCAACTAAAAATTCTTAAGATTCCTTTCAAAATCACAACCAGATTTTGTAACATGTGCAGCTAAAGCTTGCATTGTGAATTTTAACTTTTAAGACGAGGTTTCATGTTCAAAATTTAATAAAATAAAGGAGATACTTACGAATCTGAATTCTCGGATTCCGTTTCACTCTCTTCACTTCTTGACGACTTCCATTTCTTATACCTATCTATAAGGTCTATTAAATAAGAATTTTTCTTTGCTTTCCTAATGAAGGGAAACTTGAGCAATTCTTTTGCTGTGGGCCTCTGAAAACAAAGCAACAGGAAGATCCATAAAGACCATGAAGGACAAGTGTTATTAGAAATTAACAAACATGCACCGGTACAACTTAAATTGATATAGGGCTATGTTATTGAAATCTTTAGGAAAAAACATTGTTTTGATAAAGGAAAACTGAAAACACATTTTAATTGTTTTAAATATATCAGTAACTAATTTTTATACAGTTATTAAGTTTTGTGTAGCATGAAATGAAAGTGCTCTGACTAAAACACTCACAATTCTGAAGCACCTACCATTTTAAAGGAGAAACTTACAAAATATTGAACACATCAAGATAATATTCAAATTTTAGTGAACTGTGTCACTTCTGACTAGCGCCTTATAACCAACATGCACTTTTGGCATCCTAAGAATATTTGCATTGTTGTTACAGAGTTGATTTTGCACAGAACTGAATATATTCCTCCACTTACATGAAACAACTTGAAATGTAACTGAATCTCAGTAAAAAACCAAGAGCATTGTAGGTCATATAGCAGTAACTATTGATTTAAACAGATCTTTTTTAAAATAGTCTGTGTTACCATACTATCAGTTGTTTGAGAATGGTATCACATCTAAGAAACCTTACATTTTTGCTTGATAGGTGGAGTCTTAAATTCAAACCAATGGATCACAGAATTATCTACAGTAAGCCCCCCCCCCCCCCAGGGGCTAATCCGACCTCGGACTTGGTGACTTCACCATCTCACACAATCGCAACTGAAGGTTATCCCCGAACTTCATCATTGTTTTCTGTGATTGTGGCAAAACCTGGAGCATGCTCAGTAGTAACGGAAACATAATCACGGAAAACTTATCACTATTTCCTAGAATCACAGCAAAATCTAGGAAATCTGCTGTAATAGAAACATTATCATCCTCTTCCCCAATCGTGGAAAAATCCTAGACAAATCTCATAGTCATGGAATAAAAATCATTATCACATATTTTTTCTTTGGCGATCGCGGCAAAATATTTAACATCTTGCGAACTGGCAAAGATATCATCATTGTCTCCCACATTCACGGAAACTTTATCGTTGTTATCTGCAATCTCATCAAACTCTTTAATATCTTCAAAATCGTCAATTTCGTCTCCTGCGATTGCAGCAAAATCCTAAGCAACTGCTCCTAGGATAATCCAAACTTTTCACTGATCCAGCCAAGGTACCAGTTCCGTAGAAGACGGATTAGCAGGGTTAAACTGTAATTGCTAAAGGCGACTAAACGACTAAAGGCCATCGGTACATTCACAATTTTGAATCTGAGCTCCGCCAAGGCAATAATCCCGTGATCCAGACATTAGACCAGACGATTTCTTCCTACTTATATTAAAGAATAAATTAATAAATGAATTTATTTCCCATATTACAAAACATTTTACAATCATAATAATTGTTGAGAAATGTAAACTGGTCACTTTTTCAAGTAGTGTGACCAGTTAAAAGGTTAATCATACATAATAAATAATAAATTGTTGAGCCTAGCATCAGATGACAAATATTTTATCCGCCTGCTGTAACATCTGGGCAAAACTTAAACTAAGAAAGTGATAACAAAATATAAAGTACATTCATACATAAATTGCTTCATATAACAAACTAATACTGCTTACATTCTCGGGATCCTTGTTTAGACAAGCTTCAACAAACTCTTTGAACTGTTTGGTATAGTTGCCAGTCAACTGAGGAGGGTTGTTTTTTGGTATGAGGAACAACACCCTCATAGGATGCAGCTCAGAGTTGGGAGGTTCTCCCTTAGCCAACTCTATAGCAGTGATTCCTAGTGACCAGATGTCAGCCTGTCAAACAAAACTGGATTAGTTAAACTATACAACTTGGATTTGATATTTCTGAAATAAACTTAAGTCTCAGTAAGTCAGCACCCAAAAACTCAACCGTTTGCCTTTCTTAAAAATACACGGAACTCTTAACCAGTGTTATTTGTGAGCTTGTAGCTTCAATGATTGCATCGCCTTTGCCATTTGGACCTAGCGCTAATTGTTATTAAGACCGAAACTTGTAATGCTACCAGATTACTAGTCCGTCAGTCAACTCTTCAACAGTGTGAATTTTAAAAAAAAGTAATACATTTTCTTCAAGTGAAATTAGAGGATTTCAATGTTATTGTTAGTAGTTATTGTAAAGTACATATGTAAACTTTAAGGAAAATTTCTAATGTTTTAGTTTCTGGTCTAATTCCTGGTTACCTGGCATTTATAAAAAACTGTAGACATCTGAGGCCAGATACTTTAGACTTTGAACCTAACCCATGTAAATGGTGTAGAGGTCCTTAGATCACACTGGGTTTGTGAAGTTTCAGTGATAATACAAGGCAACCTTGATAACAAACAATGTTAAGATTTAATATATTCAGAAAACGCAAAAAACCTTCTGGCCGCCCCAATACCAACACAGCCAGTTTCCCGCACATTCAATCGATTGTAAATCCTGCCAGCCTGTATATATTTACAAACAAAATATCTCATGCAGTAAAGAATGTCATTCGCTTTGTTGTCCTTTAAAAATCCACAATTTCACAAAATATGTTGTTTGCAACGTTGTTTTTAATGAATTTAAACTAACAGATATTTATTACCTTGGAGTCATAAGCGCTTTGCTTGATGACCTCTGGCGCCATCCAGAAAGGTGTTCCTACGAAGGTGTTCCGTTTGCTTGTGGTGTTTGTCAGCTGTCCGGCGACTCCAAAGTCTGCCAACTTTACATCTCCCATCTCGCTCAACAGAACGTTTGCCGCTGCAACAAATATTTTAAGTTATAAAAATATATGTAGTAAAGTAATTTGTAATTATAAAATAAGGTAGAGTTGAGCAATTCTTAAAAAGCACGATCTTGTGGAAAAATACAATTATTTGTACATCTATGATTAAATTTATGTAAGTTGTCTCATTAATTAAATATTCTTCACATGCAATATGAATGGGTGTTTTCTTTTAGGCAATTATTTTTAACATAAATAATTTATTTGAAAATGTTTAAACAACATTTGATCTGTCCAAAATAGACAGTGATTGTATACATAGCATTCTGAAACTACCCACGAGCTAACACAGCTGTTTTAGGAGCACATTTACTGCCTCATAAATATTAACGATTCCAAGAAGCTATTGGCTCTGTCTGTAAATCTATATTTTACTTTAGGTATTACCTTCGACTATTGATAGAAATAAACTCATTGAAACGTTAAAGTTATCCCAGTTTTTAAATCAAACTCGACGTAGTTGAAGTGAGCCACCAACAGATTGTCAATTACGGATTTCAATCGCATATGGGGAATTTTTAACCAAGTTGAACTAATAGGATGAAGTTACACATTTTTTTGTTACGACAAATATCTCCCTAACCAAATCAAGTTAGAAAATATAACTTTAGACACTAGCCCAATGTGACTAGCTCATTCGCTTCCTTCTTTATTTTTAACGAAAAATTGGTGACAGCTGGTCGATATAGATGGACTTTCCACTTCAATATCTAAAAGTCAATGGTATTACCTATTTGTAATACCACTTAAAACACCTGTCACTTTACCACTTTATCACATAAATAGTTTTCAATGTGAGTAAACTTAACAATATTTCTAAATACCAAAACTGGATACAATTGGTCAACACCATAAAACTCAGTGTGATAATACTTAGTCGTTAAAAACTGCTTTGAAAATCTAAAAGTATATTTTTGACATTTTTTAAAAATAAAATACATGAAAGCACTGTGTAAAATAATAAAATTTTTTAAATTAAAAATTTCTTCCGGGAAGAAAAATGTATTTATGAAAGAGTTTTAATTAAAATATAAACATCGGTATTTGTGTCAGATCAGCTTAAACAATGCTGTCCAGCAAACACTTTAGCTTGTAGCCTTTGTCAAAACCAATTTTGCCGGCAGTAATTTTGTGGTTTTTCACCCAAACCACCTGATTGCCGCCCCATGCTTCTACCACAGCATTGTGTTTGGTTGATATATCTGACCAGAATTGCTGTAGGCTAGTTTAACCTCCTTCCGAGTGATTTGGTAAATATACCTAGGTTGATGGGTTTGTTTAAAACAAAATATAAAATCCATCTATTTACTTATAACGTATTGACAATTTTGTTCAATATCACAGAAATCAGTCCATCAAACATTTATAACAATAAAAAAACTTAATAATCTAGCAACCTCTGAAAAAACAACTGAAATTGTATCTGTATTTATCTTTTGACCTACAAAGACACAAAATTAGATAAAGATTTAGTTTCATATTTTATTAATTGAAATTAGTTTTTAAAAGTCAGTTGAAGTATTATTATCTTAACTAGCCTAGTTAGAAACACTTGACAATGATTGTTACAGATTTTAAAGAGATTATTCTTTGAAGTTTCTTATATTTTCAAAGAACATTATTTCAGGTCCTTTTCCATTTCAAAGATCTATAATCTTTTGTCAATAAGCTAACTTTGTTCTTAACTTCAAATCATTCAGAGAACAATGTTTTTCAGTAGAATTCTTAGAGGTTTTCAAAATTAAGTTAATTGTTTTCCTGGGTAAATTAATAATGTCCCACATTAATTTTATCGTGTTCTTTCTTTAAATGTATAGTGTAAAGTAAAACATTTAGTTTTTAGAAGGTACGTAAAATTTCTTTATAGTATGTTTATAGTTAATGTCCATTATGCCTAAAATCACAAACAAAGTACGGTAATAGAGTATTACTATTGACTATTGGATACTGAAATGGACACGCTGTCGCCAATTTTTATTTAAAAAGAACATAGTTTTGCGAGCTAGTCACAGAATGTGCTAATATCTGAAATACTATTTTCCACTTTATTTTTGGTTGCTGACCAGGATAATGGGACATAACAGTTTCTATAGCTCACAATAAGTCGTTGCATCAGTTTGACTTGGTAACAAAGTTTGTGTATTTGACATAAATCAGTAATTTTCATTATTGATTCAACCAACTAATTGACCGAGTGGTTGTAAGGTTTACCATCATATCTAAAGGTTGCTGGTTCAATCCCAAACAATATGTCCTGAACGCAATTGCAATTTCTCAATGGTAAAATATAATCTAATTTAATTATACTTTTAAACAAATGATGTGCTTGATTATATCAAAAAATATATCAAATGCAGTACCAAGATTATCGTTTGGATTGTTTCTTTACAAAACTTTGTTTCTGAGCTTTATATTTGAAAAATTGAACCATGAATTAAGACTGTAATATTAGGATTAGGTTCCATCTATATTTGGGACTCCTAATTAAGTTGTGTTCCGTGCTGTTAGCTCCATTCGGTGCTCCACATACAAGCCGGCACCATTATTGTCCATAATGCAGTAATAATCACCACAATTGGTCATGGACCGGTAGACAGCCTTTCCAAAATGGTAAAACAATGTAACTAATCAGCTAATATTGTTTCTACTACTTCAACTGTGTTTATTGTTTCAATTATAATCAAACAAATCTTCATCAGATGTTAATTGATTAACAGGGCAGCAGAAATGTAACACCCCCTTAACTTATTAACCACATTTGAAATCGTTTTGAAGCAGCCTTCTTAGATATGAGGGGCTACGTAGCTACAATAATGATACTGTAGTTAATTTTGAAAACTTTGCCCATCAGTGGAGCTGGGGGCTGGCTCCAAATTTTCAAATGGTAAGTATAGTCTAGTTTAATATCATTTAACATGTGTAGGTGAAACTAAAAGATTAACCTAAGGAAAATGAAAACTGGTCCATTAATAACAGCTAATGAGCTATAAGCAAGTTATCTCTGTACATTGCTTCTCTGTAGTTTTTATCATACCCTATTATTAGAGAGTCAATTTACTTAATGTTAAAACAATTTAATGCCTTCTGAAAAATGTTATCTTCTAACACTCTGTGGTAATCTCTGTGACGCCACTCGTAAACACAGTGACATCTTTAAGAACCCATTTGCATTTCGTGATGACAAGAATTGCAGAAGTTACATCGGAATCTCAGAGGTAACTGATTTGTTCATTAGTCTCAGAATTCTCTTTTGAAGAGTAAACATATTTGGGGCTTTTATTAAGTGAAACATTCCACTTACGAAGGTTAACCAGTGTATTCAATCACCTTTTATGTCCCTGTGGAGTTTCCGCTCGCTATGCAGGTAGTCCAACCCCTTGAGTACTTCTCTAAGGATGATGGCGATGTGCATCTCCTCAAAACTGCCGGCCTTCATCAGGTCCAGGGCCGAGCCGCCGCCCAGGTACTCCATGATGATCCATAGCTTCGTACCCTACAACATCACGTTAGGTTAGATTTATACAACTGACACATCAGCGTAAGGCGAAGATGAGTGACAAATGAGAGTTGAATGAAAGACTGCTTTGTTACTAATAAAATCAGGTGTTCCTTTGACGAGGACCATTAAGTTGCTCAATGATCAGAGATAACTAGTTTTCAGTTTCGAATGATCAAAAACATTGTCTTTTCTCGGGATCAAACCTTCAGATTATTAGCTAAGCAATATACCTTCAGCTACATATTGACTTAAAGACTGAGTTCTGTGAGGACAGGTTTTAATATCCTTCATGCTAAATATCCATTTACTCAAATAACAATTTAATCGTAAGTCTAGCTACAGTATAATAAGTTTAAATACACCATTAATGACATTGAAATTGAACTACAGGTGACTGTAAAACTGCATCCAAATAGATATGTTCAAATCATCAAGTAATAAGCGATGACGTTGTTCAACATTTGTAGACACATTACAGTACTTAATAACCTTTTGTTGAGAATCCTCTATACAGAACATCAACCATATAATTAAGAAAATATGGACAATAAGTTTAGTATTTTGGGAAGGAAGCAGAATATTTATGCGACCAGCAAGGCTCAGATAATCAAATGATTCTGAATCCCATAATCTGAATGCCTTCAAGATAAATATTTCCAAAACAACTTTTCCTGCAAGTAAACAATTGAACAGACCCTTTCAAAATTGCAATGATTACCAAATTGATGACATTTTTCAAACTGACATTATTAAATTCCATTTTGTTACCCCTGAACTGCGTAGTATAGACTAAACTATTACCTCGTAATTGAACTGCAAGATGAGGTACGTAATAGTTTAGTCTGACATTATTGATTTGTCAATCTTACAAAAGCGCTTCACCAAAAGAGTGATAAAAAGATTGCAATTAGCGAGAGTTACAGACACTAAGACAAAATGACAAGATTGAGATGTAGTGCCATTTAGCTAATGCAAGGTGTGGTCCGACGGCTGATACACGGACCAACTAAGTCATTCTTCGTCACAAGCTTGTCCCACTTTAATGACTAGCCATTTGATAAGTGTCAGCATCTAATTCAGAGTCAATTAAAATGACTAAATTAAATCAATTCCTTCAATCTATGCATTAAACGACAGTCTTTTTGTTGCTTAACTTAGCTAGTTTTTGTTTAGTTACAATTTAAAAGCTATGTGATTCAGCAAAATAATTGCTTTGTAAGTAAGTTCTCTGAATTATAATTTCCTGTTCCTATTCTTATAATTTTGGTCAGATAGTTTAACCAAAATGTCTTGATATGTTTTTTTTTTTTTTTACTTTTTGAGATAAAAATTGTTAACTCCTTAAGTATGTACTTCAGTGAATGTGAGCAATTTTAACTATACGCTGAAATAGTATAAAATTTACCATGATAAACAGTGAAGTCGCTTATAAAAATACAAAACTTTGAGTTTACGGTGTACAAATAAAATATAACTATTCCAAAATAAAAGCTTTTCAAACTTTACATGTTTAGCAATGCAAAAGTATTTTAACGAGCTAATAATACAAAATGTTGCTCGTATAAACTCCTTCAGTCTTTGAGAATAAAATGATTGGGAACAAGGTTGTTTGTTACTTGAGACACATGACAGCAAGGACATTAACAGTGGCGTGGCGCTGGACTATTGTATTGTCCTACGAGACAATTGTCTGAATGGAGGAAACAGCAAATTTTCTGGTCATTGTCCTCACTAGGATTACATTACATCTTAGCTATCCATCTATCATGGACCAGTTTACCATCTACCATGGAGCGTTTAATCATCTCTACCATGGAATGGTCTACCGCATATCAAGGAACAGGTTACCATCTACAATGGAGTGTTTTTAATCATCTCTACCATGGAATGGTCTACCACATATCATGGAACAGGTTACCATCTACAATGGAGTGTTTTTAATCATCTCTACCATGGAATGGTCTACCACATATCATGGAACAGGTTACCATCTACAATGGACCGTTTTATCATCTCTACCATGGAACGGTCTACTACCACATGGAGCAGATTACCATCTACCGTTCGAGAAATCTACCATCGCAATAGAGCGGTTCGCTTCCTATCATTGACCAGTACAAGATATACGCTGTCCATCATCTAAAATTTAATGAATAGATTAGGTGTCTTCATAGAATATATCACGGCAGTTGTGTCGTCTATTTTAAAAAAGAAAAATTATACTGAAACCCCACTTATTGCAAGGAGCTTAGGTAATGTGGTTTGTTCAACAAGATAAACAGATTGGGGACAAGTTGTTCAATAAAAACTGGATTTTTGGGTGAATGTGCATTATATGAAGTTCTTGAAGGTCAATCAGTAACTTGTGGTATATTTTATCATTTTATTTCAGTATAGTACAAGTAAAAAAATAATTTTAAGATTCTTCAACATATTTTTTCAACTAGGTTAAAATTTTAACTAGAGAAACATTTTAAAATCCAACCCAATTACACAAATAATAGGCAAGGTCTGAATAGACTTGGATAGAATATGGTAGTCAGTAACTGAGCACAAATCACCACTTGACAACATTGGCAAAACTATAGAAAAAGATGGGATGTGTGCCAGTACCAGGTGTTATCTAAGAGCAAAGAAGATTCCACAACAGCCTTCTTGAAAGTTATCTTTGCTTTCATGAATTGAATAAATAACACCACATCATACATCGGGTTTTTTAATTGATAATTATTATTATCTATTCTAAAGCATTGGTTTCATCATACAAATGTAGCCTACAGTATTTTTTCAAAACTGTTTGGTCAACAGAATGAAGAATTAATTTTTACAGTTTTTCCATGGAATATAGGGTGAAAAAGTTCTATATCTCTCATTATTATTGTTGTTTTGGATGTTAAATATGTTACATAGAGCTTTGAAGATTGTTGAAAAAAGTTACACAATGTTGTTGAAAAATTTAATTTAAACCATGATACTAATGGCAGTATATTTAAACTTTACATGACTGCAATGTGTATTTAATATTTTGTTTACAGTTAAGAATTTAGGCAAAAGCAATCTTAGTTGAAAACTAGAGCTTGCTCCGTGGTCGAAAACTTGACCACGTAACCTATATGTAACTTATTGTACAAACTTATCTATTTTCTCCCAACGCTGTAAATAAAACATGTGTTTGGAATTTCTTCCATTGTTTTGATTTTATGTTTATATTTTGTTGTTATTTTGTCACCAACATAGCAACCCATAAGGCCCATGTCAATTTTTAAAATTTTAAATTCATTTTTTGTGCTTATTTTTTAGCCTATTTTAATTTTTAAAGGGATGCCTATCTACAGGCATATCTTTCTAACAGTATGCGTAGATTATCCCTTCGATGCACACGACCTGAGAAAAAAGGTTATCAATAAACATGCTTGTCTATTAATATATCAAATTGTTAAAATCTCCATTAGAAAAGTTCAATTTCCATTTTTGACCCAATTATCATAAATATTCTCAAAGGACCGATAACCTTTCTTTTGGTACAACCCGCGTGTACTTCGGTCAGTAGTATGGTCAGGCTAGCTGTGATAAGTTTTGCAAAAGATTTTAATACATAAGATTGGGTTATGAAGGAAAAAATAATCTAGCAAAATATTTCAGGAAACCCCTTTAACCTTCAACCTTATGAGAAAACTGATAAATAAAATATTTAACTCTTTAAACACAGTCTTAGGGAGAAAAAAACTCTTCTCAGAGTGTATATATAAATACCCCCGCCGCAGCAAACCTGCTGACTAAGCAAATTTCCATTTCTCCGAATGATTTTCAATTGAATCTATTTAGGTTTAACGAGTACCTAGGTTTGCTGCCACAAGGAAACTGAAACTAATAAAGCGTGTTTTAGTAAAATATTAATAGCTTAGTATAAAATAAATAAATTTGCCTAGTTTTATCAAAATATATCCATAAACAAACAAACTACAACATTTTCAATATTCTCTATAAGAATAACATGGGAATTTTTAATTTACAATTTTTTGAATTTTCTCCGTTACCAATAACCGTACAAAAACACTTTGATATACTAAATTATTTGTTTTTTTAAGCTCTTTAATATGGTCTAGAGATAAATTGGAAAATTTTGTGTTTTGGGGGTCAAAAATGAGAAAAACAAATTTTTACCCCATAAAACCCACCGGGAAACCCCGTTCCCATGGTCCGATCATGCTGGTTCGCGAACTCATTCAAGTTTATCTCGCCTTACACCTTGAAACAAAATTTCATCAAAATCGGACAAAAATTACTCAAGTTATCGCGTTCACGGACACATATATAAAAATTTGAACGAATGGTGTTTTTGGCCTCTTGGAACATCAAAATGAAATAGTAAATCGGTCCCGGGCCTAGGTTTTACCGTGCCACCTACGGTAATAGCTACTTCCCTATAGGGAAATTCGCTAAAAGTCGCAAATGAAAATGTTACTTATAGATCTGTCAGAACAAAATCAAAAGCCAAGTTTTTACGTAGCGCTGTTTGATAAATTTCATTCAACAAGATCTTACTTTGCGGAGATTGTCAGAGACAGAGGTAGGCTTCTATCTCATTTTCATCAAATAAAGAAACCCCGCTGTGCGGCTCTTAAACAAAATCTCTCATAAACTGAGGCAGATCCAGACTTGATTATTCTGACTTATCTGCGCTTCTATATCTTGGAGAATTGACATTTCATTGGAGTTTCAACTTATTTCCATACAAGTTAATTTACCCAACAGTGAATTACATTTACCAATATTTTCACTAAGGTTTGTCTTCTCAGTTTGTCTTCTATGTTGATATTCAAAAATTAAAGTTATATTTGATTGCATTTCAAGTTTTGTTATTTTCATTGGTATTATATATATATATATATAGAACTTCTTAAATTGCCACTCATTTCAAGTACTGTACTACTTTAGTGCATTCTTTATAATAAATCTTGAAAAACAAATTACTGTATTATTAAAGCACTGGT